AAGATGTACTAATCTATGCCATGTATGTAGATCAGTATATTTATTTACACGATGAGATGATTATTATGTTTAATGTTTATACTAGAAGAGCAATAAAGCAAAATAGATATTAAGGAGCATAGTATTTGTGCACATTGACAGGGTTTGACTGGCTAAAAGATAACAAAAATGAAATACGCTTTAGGATAAAAGCTACACAGGAGTCACTGTGCCATAAATAAACCACAAAAAAAACCCAACTAAAATAACTTGAAGACTATCCTCCGATATGTCCATACAAGAAAATATGTAATTTCCCTCTGGGATTATTAAAGTATTTCTGATTCTGAAGTATTAATGCAAGTGAATTCAGTTTAGCACTAAAGAAGTAAAGAGCAATGTTTTGATAATGACAGCCAGCTATAGCTATGTGTTGACAGTGAGACAATGTGAGGAGCTTTATTAGATTAAGCTGCTTGTAACCAACATTGACATGGATAAAGTCTTTGTTCCTGAACATAATAAGCAAATCAAAGGAACGTTTAGCCTTTAATTTTAGAGAAAATGGTTCCAGTTTAAGTATGCTGTAACTGAATGCACATCTGCCGGTGCATCCAGTTACATCTCTGTGTGAGCCACTATTGTGGCTGCACATCTGCCCACATTTTTTTTTATTTATTTATTTATTTATTTATTTATTTTTTTTCACAGATCAAAATAAAAACTCAGAATACACCAATAGAATAAAATAAAAAAAATGTGATGGAGTGTGACAGAAACCCTTTAGGGCTTATACCAAGGCCACACCCGTAAACCAACAAAATATCAGGCAGCTCACATTATGAAAGTCCTTTCAGAGAAAACAAAATAGACATATACAGTAACATTATTTTTACATTTTAGCATTCAGATTTCAGGGGGTCAAATTTTTGTAAAATCATACATCACTGTCTTTTTTGGATAACAGTATTTTTTTCAAAGACTTTCTACCATTTATTTCTGAAGATTCCAAATATTTTCCATATTCATTCCATAATTTTGCACCACGATGCCGAAAAGAAAATTGCACTTGAGTTTTAATACTTAACGGTAAATGAAAAGACAAAGCTTGTCTAGTATTATAAGAATGCACTTGGCAGTTCTTGACAAAATATTTCTTAAAAGTATCAGGAGACTGACCTTGTTTTATCATAAAAATAAAGGTACATGTTTGATAAATATTAATTTCAAAAATATTCAACAGCTGTAATTTGGAAAAAAGAGGAACACTAGCTGCATCAACTTTAGAGAATGTTGCTAAGCGAACAAAAGCTTTTTGCAAAAGTAGTATTTTTTTAAGATAACTAGGAAATGTACTTGCCCAAACAATATTACAGTATGACAGGTATGGATAGATTAATGAATAATATAGAGTTAACATCACTTTATTGTGAACAAAATTTCTAATCCTTCTCAAAATACCTAGAGATTTAGTGACTTTTTTGCAGACTGTACCAATTTGTTCTCTCCAAAGGAGTTTGTCGTCAAGTTGGACACCCAAAAAACGAACAGTAGAAACTTTATCAATTTGTTGGTTTTGAATACAAATTCTTATATCATCAAATGTGTAATTTTTGTGCCCAGCAAAAACCATGAAATTACATTTTTTCACATTCAAAGATAACTTATTGGCTTGGAACCAGGTTGAAAACTGGGCTAGATCTCTGTTGAAATTCTCTGTAATAGTAGTCAAGTCTTTATGAGAGATTAGCAAATTTGTATCATCTGCAAACAGAATAGGTATTGTAGAACTTGTGACATTAGCAAGATCATTAATGTAAACTAAAAACAATAAAGGTCCTAGGATGGAGCCCTGCGGTACTCCAAATTGTATTGAGTTTTGCTTTGAATCAAGACCATTCATTGATACATACTGATATCTATTTTTTACATAACTAGTTAACCATTTATGAACAAAACCTTGAAACCCATATTTAAATAACTTTTTCAGTAAAATTTCATGATGAACAGTATCAAATGCTTTAGAGAGATCCAAGAACACTCCTATTGTATATTCATTATTGTTTAACGCAGTTAATATTCTGTCAGTAAGTTCTACAAGTGCCATATAGGTGGAATAATTCTTCCTAAAACCATATTGATACTGATAGATTATATTATGTTTATTTAAATGTTTTAATAATCTTTTATAAATAAATTTTTCTAAAACTTTTGAAAAACATGGTAAAACGGAAACAGGACGGTAATTTGTGAACATACTTGGGTCACCAGTTTTAAATACAGGGATGACTTTAGCTACTTTTAAATCTGTAGGGACAATACCAGTAATCATTGACAGTGCACATATGTGTGTCAGAGGTTTGCTCAATGGGGTCTGCATATCTTTTATCAGAGAGGCTCTAATGCCATCATGCCCTGGAGCTGAGTTTTTTAACTGCATTATAACCTCACACACTTCATTACTGTTTGGAAGATCAAAGCTATCCATTATTGGAAATGAATCTTTAATATAGTCAACTGGATCAATCGTTGTGTTTTGGATCTTTACGTCCCCTTTGCCACTCGCATGCATCACAGCTGCTGCTTGATCTCTGCACTTAAAGCTCTCTCTCCCCGCAGCAGAGTGTGTGCTTATGAAAAGTTTCTTTGATTGATTTAATTATAATAATGAGCCTTTTGTTAGATAAATAAAAAGAAATTAGTTATGTTACTCTATTCCTGAAAATATAACTGTGTTACTAGCACCACTACTATGTAACGCTGTTATTTCCAGCACTACAGGAATGTGGCTCTTTCACACCTGGAAACTGCAGGTGTGGAACTTCCTAGTTTTCTTTCTTGATTATTTTTTCCATAATGTGAAATAAGAAAAACTTCATCTGGCAGGCTTTAAATATTTAAGTGTTCTAATTAATCCTTCAGAAGCAACGGTATCTTCATTCTAATTTTTCAAAGGAGCAAAATTTGTAGAGTAACGTTCCCTAACAAATTCCATGTCCTATAATTCTGATATTTAGTGAGACATAGAAAACTGTTGTGTTTCAACAGAAAACACCAAAGGTTAATTATAATTTAATGTTGAACAATAGTGGTTATTTGACTTTATATACACACTGTTTATAAGCATATTCCAGTAAATATCTGTTTTAGGAAATACATTTCTACTCACTAGAAATCTTTTTAAAAGCTGACTAAAAGCATCTAATGTAACCTGTTCTATTGTTCTATTAAACTAAGTGTGCTTTTATTGTTTCTGATCTCATAAATGGCTCCAAGATAATTCTGTTAAAAGATGATGCAAACAAGCCTTAATGTATGAGAAAAGGAATGGATAAAGTCGCTATATGCGCTGGTTTAGCAATCCTGACAAATAGTGGCATAATACGGTTAGCTATCTTGGTGAAGCAGCTTCACCTTCAGTTGCCCCAAAAGCCCGATCCAGTGTCTCACTGGACTGTAAGGTTTTTAATTCAGTTAAGTTTTATACTTTAATTGTGGGGGGTTCTTTGGGTTAGTATTGCTTTTAGTGATTATCTTAAAAAATCCCATGAAAACTGTGCCTGAGACTTCACAAAGAAGAAAATTGTATCTTTCATGAAAAATGTGTGTCCACAAGAGTGCACACAGCAACTCTGAAAACACTGCATAACATATGCTGGGCCCTTTGGTGTTGCCACGTACACAGAATCACTATTAACAAAAACACCAGGCGTGTGCAGATAGTGCATGCGAGGAGAGAGAGAGATGAACCCAATATGTCACTGATTAAGTCAGTTGTTTCCAACAAATCTTTTTGACAGTCAAACCTAGAAAGAGTCACATAGAACACAAGCAACAATTACAGAGTTTATTGAGTTGAGAAATATACCCTTTGGTGCTCAGGCCTTTGTGGAAAATAAAAGCAAAGAGAACGATGACATTAGAATTGAGCAGGTGAGTTAGGATGGGTTTGTCTTGGTGGAAAAGGAAGCTGATGAATGAACAATCCTTCTTAAAAGCTCCGATGATGATCGGAAATGGCAGAGGCATGCATAGGCCCGATCGGCTTGCAGCAACAAAGCATCAGAGGGTGATTGGATGAGAGGTTAGCCTTTAGTTCTGAATTTTCACTTTGGGAAACCACTGGTTTAATTAAAGAGGTGACACGCTTAAAAAAATATGAATCCAGCATATTTTCTTTGGAAAAACCAATATGCAATGTATTGTCATTTAGTTACGCTATAGTTTAAAGCTATAAAACATTACAGTACTTAATAATCTCTAATTATAATTATCTACTTTGTATGGATCCAAAAATCAAAGAGTAAAAAGTAAATGTCACAGAGCAGCTTTACTGAGAACCAGCATAGTTAGAAAAGCTGTAAGAAAGAGAAAAGTATTGGCTTTTAGAAATTTTTATTGAAATTCCTAGAAATAAAAAGTCTGAACTTTTCAGAGAGGTGCTAGTTCTGATGCTGTCACTTCTATTTAGCCTCTAAATCTTACTGCTATATTCTGTGGCTTTATCCTTGTAAGAGTTGTAAGCTTGTTCTAAATTGAGGACGACTGTTCATGAACAGAATCGCTTCATTAATTTTTTACCAAAAACCTCAGACTGTGTTATTTATACATTTATTTGAAATCTGTCATCATGTACGACCTCAAAGACACTTCTGTGGTTTTACCTCTGCTGTGCCAGTAAGCTGCCAAAAAGCGCATAGAGGAAACTGTTGAGAAAATTAAAATGAGATCTCCCATAAACTCAATGCTGCATTTTTATGGTTTCCCAGGGATGCGCTTAGACTTTCTGCATCGGATGAAACAATTATAGAGAAAAGAAAACAGCAGTAAAGCTGAAAGATTTCTTCAATACTACTGTAGAAGTAGATTAATGTAACTGTATTTCTTAGATTTGATAGAAATTACTACAGGATGAGAAGAAATGATGGCTATAATTGCAACCAAGTTTTTAAACATATTTTTGCTGATCGTATTTCTCTTCTCTGAAAATGTAAAACCTGCTTTTGTATAGAAACACTTACCCTGCTTAGACCCAGTGTGGTCGGCGCTGGGGCCAGTGTTGGGTGTATACTTTGTGTCCCGGGTGGCAGCGCTGTGCCTTGTCCAATCAAAATCATCATTCTTGTCCTGGGTAAACATGCAGATCGGCTCTTCCTCAAAGCTGCAGTGGAACTCCCCTAGAGATCGGCAGAGAGCACACCCGAGAGTACACATCATCACAAAGAGAGCAGAGAACAGTACAAACTGCCTGGAAGCTACAATGATACACGTGAGCTGCAAGATGCCTTCTGTATATTCATGAGCTTTCATGTAATGCCTCAGTCTCAGGAGTACATACAACAATCCAAGTCCTAATTACATCATGAAATGTGGTCTGAAAGATGTCTAAAGTAAGATGTGACCCCTGTGTGACTGCAGAGAAGGCAGCACTAAATGTTTTTAACCTTTTCCTGACAAAGAAAGACAGTCTAGTAAGCTGATGGAGAAAGGATGCTGAAAAATTAGTGTAGATGTGTATAAGTAAAAGGCGTGCCATTACTAAAGCACTCAGCCAAAAGGAAAAATACTAATATGGTAATATTTCTGATTTGGCAATATTATTTTAAGGCTTCTTGCAGGGGGGTGAAGCAGTTCAAATCTCTTCTTTGCACATAACTGATGCTAAAAAAATTAGATGACTCTCCTCAGAGGCTAAGGCAGGCTTCATTTGCACACATTCTATACGTAATCAGTTTTAAAATCACCATCATCTCAATGACACCTCATCTTCAAGGTGCACTGCAGGTGGAGCCCTGAGACCCTCCATCCCCCCGACTGTTTCTTTTTCGCTGCATCTTTTCATGCCCCTTTGACAGCAATTGTTTTAAAAAAGTCTAGTCTACTGGGAAAATAAATAAAAGGAAAGGGTAATATAATGGTTATGATGGGTCACTTTGAAGGTTATGTCTAACAGTTAGTATGCAAATCAATAGTCAGAAATTCCACGCAAGAAAAAAACAAAACTATAACAACAGTAAAAAACTTGTGCATTTGGGTTTAATGAGGGCGGAGCAGAAGGATCGTTGGTGTCAAAACCTCCATTTAATCCATAAAACAAACAAAGCTACATGCATAACCAGAGGACATGGCACCGCAAAGCTATGTCCTCAAAGAGATTGTAAGCGGGGAACATTTAGATGCGGGATGTGGGCCTGTGAGCTAATAAATATTCATTGATTTATTAAAATGTGGCCTGGAGCGGCTTGGAGCGTTGACCTTGCGAGGAGTAGGATCTCCAGCTTTTACTCAGGTAATGTAGGTAACATAGACAGTGGTACATAGTGGGTGGATCGACTGAAGAATGGAAGAGGGCATGGATGGTGGGAGAGAGCTGTGAGGCTGCGTTTACCGGCACTCTTGACTTTTTTCTCACAAGCATACCGCATTTAAATGGAGGGCTGGTGTGAGACATTAACGCCCCCATCCGCTCTGAGCTAAACTAAATGTTTCTGCCTCCTGCACCCGAGAGGGAAGCAAGGATTCAGAGAATAGGTAGAGGATTGAGGGTCGTAAGAGGAGGCGTTTAGGTAAGACAGTCTCCTACGGGGATTTGGATAATGATCCCGGTGATTAGGATGTTTGTTATTGTGCTGGCAATGTTTGTGTGAACACCCACCAAAATATAAATCAGCTGTATATAAATATATAACAGCAGCTCCACACAGCAGTGCACCTCAGTATAGTAAACAATGATTAAGCATGGATTCTCAAGGCATGAATAAAGTGAATATGTAGAGTTTTATGTATGAAGATGCACGACAAATGGAACAAAGCTTAAAGCATATCAGATACATGCTCACAGAGGAGGAAATATGCCAATAAATAAACCAAACGCACAAATATGTAAGTATTTTTTACTGTTATCAAAGGTGTTTAGTGTTGCTCATTGGGATAAATTCTAGCTTAATTTTAAACTTTAATATTTATCTACACTTATAGATGAACAAGACATCAAGACAATCTGAATTTACAAATCAAACTTAACACCCTTATTTTTAATAGCAACAGGCAGAAATGATAGAAATGGCCAATGCTAAAGTAGGAATGGACATTTAGATTTTTATTCCGTAAAAATTCAAAAAATATCCACTGGACTTAGTTTCCAAGATTTGAAGACGTTTCACCACCTCTCCAGGAAGCTTTCTCAATTCAAATGTCTGGATCCGCAGTGAGTTTGAGTCTTGTATAGGCAAGGCCTTGTATCGCTTGGAAACATGCAAATGGTAACCAATGAATGGGTCGTTTGGTTCCATCGTTAGCCTGTAATATCTGAACCTGTCTATTATTCTGAGGGTCGGTCGTTAAAGGGGGGGAGAGGTTGTCTCCACAGACGCATGGCCCAACACAGAAGAGCGGCCTCCTCTAGACAAGACTCCGCAGTACACCTACACCTTGTGGACAAAGGACATTGAGGACCAGAATGTTCACATTTTGGATAAAGAAAATAGGTGGTTTGAGAGGGGCGTGAAGGAAGCCATCTATGTTAAGAGAGAAAAAACAACTTTAAACAGAGGTGGTGGACTCCAGCTTCCAAAAACATACAATTCAATCATAGACATGATCCCTTCCAGATATCACCAAACCCCCCACCCCATCACAGAGGAACGAGGGTCCTACCCGCTCCAGCCGGTGAACAATACCTCCTTAACGACCGACTCTTAACAACCATAGACAGGTTTCAGGTATTATAGGAGACAATCCCCCCCTTTAACGACCGACCCTCAGAATCATAGACAGGTTTCAGATATTACAGGCTAACGATGGAACCAAACAACCCATTCATCGGTTACCATTTGCATGTTTCCAAGCGATACAAGGCCTTGCCAATATAAGACTCAAACTCACTGCGGATCCAGACATTTGAATTGATAAAACTTCCTGGAGAGGTGGAGAAACGTCTTAAAATCTTGGAAACCAAGTCCAGTGGATATTTTTTGAATTTTTACGGAATGACTATGACCTGGATGACTGAGAACCTTCATCAGCATTTAGATTTTTAGAAACCCCAAAATACAAATACTTGATAATAATTTAGAATGAGTGGTTGTGTGATGATCATTTAGTTTTATGTGAAAATATTGCTTTTCTTTGGGATATATATTAATAAAGTTAAAGCATTGATAATGTCTAGTCAGTGATAAATCTGAAGTGCTGTCTGACTGCTGCAGCATCTCCGTATTCAGGTAAAATAATGTAAGCTAATATTAGGGGTTCTTGGAATTCAGTAAGAAAGAAGGCAGCCTTTGAATGTGCTGATAGAGCCAAACAATAAAGACTTTTCCTGAAGTTGGTTGACATTCATTTACTAAAGCGTCCAAAGAGCCTCAACTTCTTTCAGACTCATTTCTGGATAGATTCTAGAACATGTTTATCTGTTGCTCTCTTTTTTCAGTACATAACTTTGTGATTTTTATCTGTGAAAAAAGCCATACAGCAGTAAATTTTACCTTCTTAATTGCTGCAAGGCCACACTAATAGTAAACAATGACAATACTACAATATCACTACTTTGCAGCTTTCAAACAGCAATAGAATAAGAAGATATCTAGAAGAAGAATCTAGACTGCATGTTATCAATCAGGTTGATCCAATTTGAAATAATTTGCCTTACATCTTACATTTCTTTCATAATCTTACATTTGGTCATTTGAACCCAAATATTTCATTTTTTGTGACCAGATTATTACTAATTACTAATGCATTTCTAAATATAATTTTATCGTAAATGTGTAATATTTAGTATATTAGTTGTAGTAAGTAAGCTCTAAATGCATTTTGATGTATTACCCCAGAGTAAATATAATAGGTTCTAAAATGTTATCATACTTAAATATACTTGTATACAGGTGCTGGTCATAAAATTAGAATATCATGAAAAAGTAGATTGATTTCAGTAATTCCATTTAAAAAGTGAAACTTGTATATTATATTCATACATTACATACAAACTCATATATTTCAGATGTTTATTTTGTTTAATTTTGATGATTACAAATGACAACAAATGAAAATCTCAAATTCATCATATCAGAAAATTAGAATATTGTGAAAAGGTTCAAAATTGATGGCCCCTGGTACCACACTCTAATCAGCTAATTAACTCAAACCACCTGCAAAAGCCTTTAAATGGTCTTTCAGTCTAGTTCTATAGGCTACACAATCATGGGGAAGACTGCTGACTTGACAGTTGTCCAAAAGACGACCATCGACACCTTGCACAAGGAGGGCAAGACACAAAAGGTCATCGCTAAAGAGGCTGGCTGTTCACAGAGCTCAGTGTCCAAGCACATTAATAGAGAGGCGAAGGGAAGGAAAAGATGTGGTCGAAAAAAGTGTACAAGCAAGAGAGATAACCGCACCCTGGAGAGGATTGTGAAACAAAACCCCTTCAAAAATGTGGGGGAGATTCACAAAGAGTGGACTGCAGCTGGAGTGAGTGCTTCAAGAACCACCACACACAGACGTATGAAAGACATGGGTTTCTGCTGTCGCATTCCTTGTGTCAAGCCACTCTTGAACCACAGACAGCGTCAGAAGCGTCTAAAGAGAAACAGGACTGGACTGCTGGTGAGTGGTCCAAAGTCATGTTCTCTGATGAAAGTAAATTTTGCATTTCCTTTGGAAATCAAGGTCCCAGAGTCTGGAGGAAAAGAAGAGAGGCACTTCATCCACGTTGCTTGAAGTCCAGTGTAAAGTTTCCACAGTCAGTGATGGTTTGGGGTGCCATGTCATCTGCTGGTGTTGGTCCATTGTGTTTTCTGAGGTCCAGGGTCAACGCAGCCACATACCAGGAAGTTTTAGAGCACTTCATGCTTCCTGCAGCTGACCAACTTTTTGGAGATGCAGATTTCATTTTCCAACAGGACTTGGCACCTGCACACAGTGCCAAAGCTACCAGTACCTGGTTGAAGGACCATGGTATCCCTGTTCTTAATTGGCCAGCAAACTCTCCTGACCTTAACCCCATAGAAAATCTATGGGGTATTGTGAAGAAGAAGATGCAATACACCAGACCCAACAATTCAGAAGAGCTAAAAGCCACTATTAGAGCAACCTGGGCTATCATAACACCTGAGCAGTGCCACAGACTGATCGACTCCATGCCACGCCGCATTGCTGCAGTAATACAGGCCAAAGGAGGCCCAACTAAATACTGAGTGCTGTACATGCTCATACTTTTCATGTTCATACTTTTCAGTTGGCCAACATTTCTATAAATCCTTTGTTTTTATTGGTCTTCAGTAATATTCTAATTTTCTGATATGATGAATTTGAGATTTTCATTTGTTGTCATTTGTAATCATCAAAATTAAACAAAATAAACATCTGAAATATATGAGTTTGTATGTAATGTATGAATATAATATACAAGTTTCACTTTTTAAATGGAATTACTGAAATCAATCAACTTTTTCATGATATTCTAATTTTATGACCAGCACCTGTATAAGAAATACTTTCAGCCACTATATTGTGAGAAAAATTAATACATTTGGAAAATGTACAAAGGTATCTTTAATCTTTCTTAATGAATATGTAAAAAATTTATATATCTTCCTGTTAACTTGAGGATTTATGAACTTCATGAGTATAAATTCAGCCACAAATATTTACATAACAGATATCACAGAAAACTATTTATCAGCTTCTTAAAGGTGTTACTTTTCTGTACTATTTTAAGCCGGATGTATATTCAGGATCAGTGGTGCACCAGCAGTTAGGTCATGTGAATCTGTCAAAATATTCTCATCAAAGTCTATAGTGAAGCCTACAGGGGCATATTCCACTATGTGAAATATGACAATAAAAATTGACTTTTAGTTCACAACAAAATAATGCTAAAATCTTGACTTGTTCCCAATAAAAGTATTGCGATCTTGGAACCTGTGGACCCAAATGGAGAAATGAGAGAAGAAGTTTTGAGTGAAAAAACAATTTAATGAAAAATGGATGGCCTAGAACAAAAACAGGATATGAGACATTAAAATTAAGATTAATACCAAAGTAATAACTAAAGAACATGAAAACCAAAAATGAAATAACAAAAAAAACTAACTAACTATTATTACATAATCTAGTCATGCCAATGCTTTTACAGACTTTTATGGAGGCTAGAGAGGAGATGTTACTTACTTAGGTGAGGGTTGATGGGAGCTGTGAGAGAAAAATACCAAAGACATTTGTTAACGTTGAAGATCAAAGTAGTTTTTCATTACATGCAGCACTTTTAAAAGAAACAGACCTGTAGAAACATCACAGTTTGAAATACTTTGCTTCATCACTGGCGTACAAAATGATGCACAGGCACTTAGTTGGTGCATTTCTATCCTGTCAAAACCTGGTGTTTTGCAGAGCCGGTAGTCTACATATGAAATACAGCCAACGAATGATTGAAAGCATACGATAACAACAGATGAACAATATAAAAAGGCTGCAGCAATCCTCTTTATGCCCTGATTACTAAAGCAGAGCAGAAAGAGATGTCTGGGATTTCAGAAAGAAAAGGTGGCAGCAATCATTCTCTGACTGTTATCTAATGTAAAAGACAGGATTAGGAAGATGGCCTGATCACATTAATAAGCTTATAACGCTTATCATTACTGCCATTTACCGGCTGTGCTGATGTTCTTGTCCAAGGTGACTTCCATTTGAAAAGCTAACTCAATTTTATGCATCCATTTAGAAGCTGATAAATCTTAAAAATGACTAATAATTGCAACAATGGTAGCTAATCACCTCTATGAAACATCTTGTCTGTGTTTACAAAACCATCATTATAAAAACTTGCAGCTATAATACTCTTGTGCTTTGACCTCTCAGGCGCATGTGAGACTGTTTGCATTCTGTCCACCTGAAGCACGGTTCAGTGCTTTGCTTATTGATAATTTAAAAGCCTACCGCTGAAGGAAGCACAAAAAGGTCAAGGGCATCACGCAGAGTTGCAACAAGCCAGTTATTTGGCACTTCACTTTTTGCAGATTAAATACCATTTAGCCTGTCCAGAAGATTCATGAGCATTTTCATGATCGATTGCTGACTGGCTGAATAGATGAAATACATCAGCTTTGCCACAAAACCATGTTGCTGTGTGATTTATGATACCTTTCTGCACAAGGTGGAATTGATTTTAATCCAGCCAATTAAAGAAAGCAATAACAAATCATTCCTACAAAGGAAAACATGCACTGAGGTGTGGAGAAGAACAGAAGTTCTGAAATGCTTTTTTTTTTTTTAATGCCTCAACTAGAGAAGTGATTTCTGCTTATTATGTTGGCAATTTAAATATATGTTACTTGTGGGGAAAAGAGAAAAAGACCTTACAGAAAAGGTTAAAGAAAATGCTGCATGGCTTTTACTGTGCTCTTACATACTAATAAAGTTTTATGTCAAAAACACCTGCCTTCCAACAATCACTGCTGTTTATTTAACCTACTGGGCTTCAGAAAGGCATAAAATTAGTCATGGGCACGAAATCTACCAAGCTGTGGCGGGGAAAATATTTTAAGTGACAACTTACAGCCTCGGGCTTGCAGAGAGGATGCCGAGTTTTCCGACAAAACTCAACCTCTCTCTTGCTCTCTTGCTTCTTTCCACTCAACTTTCCTTTTTCCCTCACCTCCTCCCGAATCCTTCCTGCTGCCTCCCCAAACACTTCTTCCTCTTTCCGACACTGCGGTTTAGAAAGTATGGTTTGTTGTCATATTTCTCACCTGCAGCTTCGCTTGGCTGTTGTTCTGTGCCTGAGTCCAGATTAATGTGCCTGCTCAAGAAATGTCTTTCCCCCACTGAGGAGCTCAAACTGAGCAGTGAATAGGCCTTGAGGCTTCTTAACTACTGTTGTGTATGCAAGCACTCTCTCCAAACTATATAGGCACAGATAATTTAACTTCCATCATGAGAGACTAATGACTGTGAATTAAAAAAAAAAAAAAAAAAAAAAACAGACATGCAATAACTTTAAACCAAAGAACTACTGCAGACTTTAAAGGCGAGAATCATTGAAACTGTTTAATTCAATTCTTTCTTTGCATCTTAAGTCATAAGAATTATTAAAAATGCATATTTGCTTTTAAAGCATTGCTTTGAAACATGCCCAATGAAGACTAATTTAAAACTATTGCTAACATTGTTTGCTCTATGACATACTAAATTGGTATTATATGAATTCAGCACTTTTACTGACCTGACTGAGGAGATGTATACTACATTGGCCCAAATAAACCATAGTTCTGCTTAACTTGTCAGGTTATTTAATAATACTTATCCAACAATTAAGATAACATTCCTTTCTTTGCAGCAAAACAACCCTAGCACCTGCAGACACCAAGATTCTCACAGAAAAGATAAAATAACAAACCCATACATTCTTCCTGGGAAGAATTAATGCAATGATATGGAGATTTATGGACTAGACCAGTGCATGTGTGGCTAATGCAGGTAAAAATTTCAAGGCGGCCTAAACAACATAAAAAGCCATCAGTGGAAATAAAATAACTACTACAAGCTTTTAATATAAAGACCTGCAGCTGATCTGTAAGCTATTATAGGTGGCCTAAAGTAAACCAACACTTGGGAAATGGGGGTGGGGTGTGCACCTATCTATAACTCCTCACAACAGGGATTCATCCTTCGATTCTTTAAACCATGAACCAAGCTGGGTTGCAATCTTTGTAGTTCAAAAGCATAACACCAACTTATTGCAGAGGGAAAAAATAATGTCCAATATATTGCCCCTTATTTTAAATATTTGAAGGTTAAATCCTGTTGGTTTTCAGCTCCAATCTTTAAAATCTCTTTTTACAATTCAACACACATTTATGAAAAAAACACTGAGCTAACAGCACTACGTATAATACCTTGAGAATACAACAAGGAGGTAGAAGGTTTACAACACATTTGGAATCTTCAGTTTCCTCTCATTGTTTATGCACCTCTGTAAACTTATCTCCACATCATAACAAAGGTAGTTTTTTATGCAATCATGCAAAGCTGCAACAAACAAACCGTTGTTTCATTTATATCACTGACCCATGTTGCGTTCTCTACTAGCCAAAAGGACAATCTCTTGTCTGAAACATGATTGACTTCCATCCAAAATGCCTAATTTTGATTGGAACACAAAGTGAGCTCAGTGACCGCCAAAGGACATTGGTCCATCGAGGCAGTTTCAGATAAGAACACTGACTTTGTCTTGGCAGGAATCCCTGCCCACTGGTATCCCTGGTGTGTAACAAAGCAGCAGATATTTTCGTGACTGCAGCTTATTACACTTACAGACTGCATGGACTCTTCTGTCATTTTATTGACCTCATATAATCTACACTATGAAAAATTCTTTATGATGCACAGTTTGAACCATCAGTATCAACTGCTCTGCAGAGTCCTAACTCCCAGTAGGAAAATAAACTGTGTAAATTATTATTTTTTTTATTTCTTATTCTTTTCTTTGGCCTCAGTTTTCCAGTGGACCTCCTTATGGATCAGCTTCCGGCTCGCTTCCGAAGAAAAGGTATGAAAAACAGAGTTAAATCAAACCATATGTATTTCATGCTTTTAGAAGCATCAGGGGAAATTGCTTACATCCAAACAAACATTGCTGCTTGCTCTACATGAGCTGATTTGTAAAGAATGCAGAGCCCGAATGAGCATAAAAAAATCCATAAGAAAACCAGAAATAGGGTCTGAACAGCCAAACAGATAAGTCACTCATTTGCAGTCTGGCACAGCTGGTGAGCTTAGATTTCCATAAAGAAGCCTAAGGGCAGCAGGTGTTCATCGAGTGGGGCTCAGTTTTCCTAAATATGTTGATAGGTAAGGAAATTTACCCATTAGCAATCCTCAAGAGCTCTCTAATTTACATCCATCTATTTTTTACACCTGCTTAATCCTTCTCAGAGTAATATTGGGACTGGTACCTGTTTCCAGTAGTCAACAGCCAAGAGGTACACACTGATGGGGTACTAATTTACAAGTTATACCTCATATTTCTTCTGCAAAAAATGACTTTTAAAACAGCTATGGCTCTTGGATATTTTGTGGTTTTGTGCAGCATCCAAGCAAACAAAAACTCCAGAGAGCTGGCACTTCTAGTAATCCCATTTTTATTCTTTCTTTCAATTTCAGTTATCTGGCAGCTGATTTCATTCCTTATATTTAATTGCCATATCTGAAGAATATAATGTTCCTGTCATGGACTGAACTGTTAGAAAGCTATAGATGCACTTGATCTGCACAATATACCATTAAAAATAAAAAAATAAATAAAAATAAAATAACTGCAGTTTCACTTATACAGCAGAAGCTTTAGAAAAGTTCCCATGTTGCACCTTTTATAATACATTGTATAAGTTTCAAGATATGCGTTTTGGATCAGGATAAGTAAGACTGAAGACAAATGCCTGATACACTTCATACAGTGGATTTGTAAATTAAAAACAGTTAATACACAAATTAAAATATGATCAGATTTGTGGTTATAATGTGAAAAAAGGTGAGAAAGTAAGCCAAATCTTAGAACCAAACAATTTCCACTAAAAATCTAATGTTCATACTTAATTTAAGCAACTTTAAGTTTTCAAAATCTACAGATGAAAATGTAAATAAATGTAAAAAAACAAAACAAGAAGCCACTTAGTTGGATTTGTTGTTTTCGGGAATTTAATTATTGATTCCTTAGGTAAGACCACCCTCCAAATATGCACAGAGGCAATGTGCAGCCATGCAGTCTGTATAAGCAATCACACTGTTTGACTCAAATACAACAAAAACTAAGTTTGATTTAAGAGTTAGAAGAAGCAACATTTCTGTCAGCCTCCTCATGAGATGCATGAAGATATAATTTCAGGAAGCAGCTATTCTACAGAGAGGGCTGACAAAAAGCTTAAACTTTAAATCCTGAGGTGTACAGGGAAAACCATAAGAGCGAAGGGAGGTGATGACAAACACCAAGCAGATGCTCAGTTTGTCACTGCAGCATATTTTAAACCAGCATCCAGTCCTAGGTGACACAACCATCCCTCACCCTGCAACTGGAGACTTAATAAGTTATTTTGTGTTCTCTTACAGTCACAAAAAAATCCACTGCCACCGTGGAACACAATAACAGCTCGGACAGTGGTGGTCCTTTATCCGAAATGTAACAAAATGATCAAGCC